CCCCCATTGTGCCCCCGCGCTCTCCCCCCCCCCCCTCCGCCTCCGTTAGCTGTTCTGCCAGGCGCTGCCTACGGGCAGGGGAAAGGCTGCCAGCCCGCAGGGGCCAGAAAGCAAACAGCAGCCAGTGGCTGGAGGCAAAAGAGCCCGTTGAAGGGTCTGATCCTGGAAAAAATAAACCACAACAGCAGCTTTCTCTCTCCTGCCAGGGTGCATTGCGTCGGCACGCCAATTCGGCTGAGCCTGGTCTGTGATCAGGGGGTTGAAGAGCATTGTCAGCTCCGACGTGGCATAACCTCCTCTGTTGTCATGGCTGGGTGACGGGGTTTTTATTCCTGGCTGATTGGACTCCGTGCCTCAGTTTCCCCATCTGTGAAATGGGGCTGATGATCCTAAAGGAGCCATCCCCACTGCCAGGAGCAATCGTGATAGAGACGATCCCAAAGTGACCGGCAAGCAAGAGCATCCCAAGTCAAAGGGGGTCAAGTGCGGCCGGGTAGAGCCAGGCATCACCTTTGGTTCATATTTGGGGTGGAACAGTCAAAATAACCCATCCAGTAGACAGGTCAATGATCTTTTCCTTGCTCACTTTTCTTTCCTGTCCCCATCTTGAAACCCATCCCTCTGCTCCGAGGGTTGTTCCCAGTTTGTTCACAGCCCGCAGATCGACACCGGACACATTTTTCCACTCAGGAGTTCAGCTCGGATCCCCGCGGAAGAGGAAAAATCAAAAAAGCCGAGGAGAAGTTTGGGGCGAGGCTCATTTCTACCTGCAGCTCACCTGGCACGGCAGCATTTTCTCTGCCTTTCTCCCCGAGAAATGCTCCAAGCGCCCAGCAGCCAGTGCCACTGCAGCCCTGGGAAGCACCAGCAACCCCCAAGCTGGCAGATAACGGGCTTATCTCCACCTACCCCCAGGGATATTCGCCCTGCGCAAGGTCTGGATCAGAGCTGGGTTGCACCTCCATGACATCCGACCTGGCCTGGGAGGCTCAGGGCACGTCCCTCCCACGCAGCCGATACCTTCCAGCGGCACCAGCACCCGCGGCAGGGGCTGCCGGCAGGGTCCCAGCTTGGGCACAGCACCAGGCCAGCGTGCCCGTGCTTCCTCCAGCCAGGGAGAAGAAGACCCACCACGTCAAAAAAAAAAAAAAAATCACCGTTGAAGTGTTGGGGACCTTCACAGCTCGCGGCTCGGGCTTCACGGCATCGCAGCGGAGCTGGGCCACCACGAGGTTTGGACATCTACCGTGGGCATCGCCCAGGACTGAGCTATCTCAAGGCACGTAACACCTTTAGGGGTAATTGGTGCTGGTGTGCATCGAGCCAGGCGCTGTACGAGCACGGAGAAGCTGGCGTCTGCCACAGCAAGCTCCCGAGAAAGGAAGAAGGATGGGAGAAGGATGGCAGGACGTACCGCGGGCTGACTGGCCTCACTCCGCCACCGCCTTGGCCCATCCAAAGAGCAACATTTTGGGGAGAGGTGGGACGAGGTGATGCAGCCGCACCTGGGGGCGCTGGGATGGACAGCACAGGCGCTCAGTGGGACCTCCCGTCGCCGGCCGGTGGAGGCAGGGGCCGGCGTTTGAAGGTGATAAACCCTCGGCTGGCTGGGAAATCCCAGCGGGGCTTTTTTGGGGTGCTTGTTTCCTCACCGGCAGCCAGCCCCCGCTGGGAGCGGAGGAAGCCACCATCTCGGGAACCTGTTAAACAACAGCCCTCGCCCCTGGTGGGGTTTGACCCGTTTCTAAGTGCGGCTGAGTGGCATCCAACTACCCGACAAGAAGGAAACGTTCTAATTAAACACGGTGCGAGGGAGGGGGGGGGGGGGGGAAACCCTC